AAAACATTTCGCATTTAATTACAATTTTTTTTGGTTTTAAATTAATAAGCCAAGAAAAAAATGTCACCAAAACTAAATATAAATGATCTCTCTCTCTCTATATATATGTATGTATGTACTGTACAAACACACACACACACACACTTCACTTTGGGGGTTTCGGTCTTAATGGGCACGTAAGAGGCATGCTTATGCATGGCTGCCATTGGTTTAACAGGCTGTGGAGTGAATGACTCTCCTGCTGTGTTGTTTACACTACAGCTAGATGTGCTTTTATGATAATAAAACATTTCGCATTTAATTACAATTTTTTTTGGTTTTAAATTAATAATCCAAGAAAAAAATGTCACCAAAACTAAATATAAATGATCTCTCTCTCTCTCTCTCTATATATATATATATATATATATATATATATGTATGTACTGTACAAACACACACACATCACACACACACACACACACACACACTTCACTTTGGGGGTTTCAGTCTTAATGGGCATGTAAGATAGGCATGCTTATGCATGGCTGCCTTTGGTTTAACAGGCTGTGGAGTGAATGACTCTCCTGTAGGCTTGGCTGCTTACATTCTGGAGAAATTCTCCACCTGGACTGACCTGGAGAACATACACTTGGAGGACGGTGGACTGGAAAGGTCCGAGAGTACATTTGATCTTTTTTCCATTTATCAGCAGTATTCATGGGATCGTTCACATCTGTTGTTGCTTTGCACAGGAAATTTAGCCTGGACGACCTCCTAACAAACGTGATGATCTACTGGACCACAGGCTCCATCGTCTCCTCCATGCGCTTCTACAAAGAGAACCTCAGTAGTAATCTTGACAAACGGATTGATTCAAGGTTTGTGGATTCATAACCACACTTGAGGCCCAGTATTTTTGGAGTCACGTGATGACTATAATCCTTTGTTGTAATTTGTAGAACAAGAATATTTGTGCCGACTGGGCTGGCTGCCTTCCCTGGAGAGCTGATGCACTGCCCTAAAATGTGGGCCCAAATTAGGTTTCATAACATCGTCTCATACACTATGATGCCTCGAGGTGGTCACTTTGCTGCCTTTGAGGAGCCTCAGCTGCTTGCCAGTGATCTAATCCAGTTTGTTCGAAAGGTGGAACGTTGAACATATGCATTTGTTAGTCTGCGCTCCCCACATCCTACAATATCACACGAAATAATGCTCCTAAGGCTGTCATTATTATATGATTCTTAATTGTCACACAATTATAAAAAGTAGGTTTTAAAAACGGGAAAGATTTTGACTAGATTTAAAAATCGCTGCAGGGTCAAGGGCACGAAAACTGATTTCCTTGAATCTCTATTTCAATATACTTTTCAAGTGAATCATACTACAGCATTTGATTTGACTGTGTTTACATTCACAAAATAATTTGCATCATATGCATATGGCCACATTACTCGTAACTGCTCACAACTGCTTCAACACAGGGCTTCAACAACATCTAAGTTAACATTCTAAACAATAATAAATCCTGGAATATGTGGCTATATATCGCACACATACGTACAGTAACCATACATACACACACAGGTGGGTGCAAAAAAGTCCATTTACTCATCAAATTATTTCACAAAGGTTAACAAACTAAAATATTTAATTGTAATTTTATGTATTGCATGTTTTGAAAGCAGCGACATTGTTAAAATTATGTTCAGATCATTTGGTAACAAACATTTACATTGAAAAATCACTTTTTTCCTTCCTTGAGGTATGGCAAATATTGTTAATATTGGCAAATATGCTTGAATCATTTTGTTGATCGTAAACATTTCACAAGTATATAAACAAGTTATTTAAATAGACATATGGCTCCATCTTGTGATCCGATTGGTTTATTCAATCTTGCTAATTGATCACTGGCCCCCAAAATCCTGATCATGTAAAGCTTGATATTTTTGTCACATTATTAAACAAAACATCAAATCAAGAATCTGTCTTGCATCAATCAATTAAATTTTAATACCAATAAATGTTGCAGTGTTTCATTAAAAATATGCCGGTAAAATGTTAAAATACTGCATATAGTCCAAATTAATTTGAACCATGATTTTAAAAAGTAGCACATTTGCAATCAGTTTCGAAAGCCTTTGATGGCTCTAGGTGCTTGAAACCACACATATTCGTGGCAGTCCACTATGTCTGTGCTTTTGTTCCCGAAAGTGCACAGGTCAGTACAAAGAGCAATAACTTGCTTTTTGACACACGTTGGCACTTTAAATTGGAGTTTAGGATGAAACCAACCTACCCCACAGTCCCTGTGTGCCAGTGCCAAGACTGTGGTGGGCATTAAACGGCCTGGTCTACTATCAGACAAAAGGTCAGCTACAAAAAGCGTGCGGAAGAGTTGTCTTAAACATGACGACACCCGTAGGCAGTGATCGCCACTTCCCAATACCAGCGCCTCCAGGTTGATCTCGTATATCTCTTTGGGGAGGATGATTGAGCCACCCATAAGCAGCAGAACTTGGGGAACCTTGCTCAGGCAGAACAGCACCTCCAGCTGATGCAGCACCTCCTCCAGGTCCTGCAGCGTCTCCTGACACTTACGCCTATTTGCATCTGCCAAATTCACCTGCCTTCGACAAACAACATCTTCATCCTGAGAAGTAAGAACATACATAGAAGAAGTGTATGAAGACTAAATCAGAACAAAAAATTTTGCACGGCTATGATGAGATTCTTATCTACATAATGTGCGATAGGTGCGATGTAGGATTGGACATTCACCACTTTTGAGTCTTGACATTTCTTCTGGGAATACACTAGTTGGTCATAGGTCATGGGCAGTTGTTGCCTCTGATACAGAATACACTTCAGGATTTCGCTGACAAAACGGCAACAGCCTTCCTGAGTCACAGTTCCCGGGAAGACAACGTTGACAATTCCCTCCTCCTTGGCCCTTCTCGCCATCTCTGCATCACTCTCAGCTGTGTGGAATAGTTGTTTACCAGCTGTCACGCAGCAGTCTCGTTCTTGCGTGTTTTCTGTCAATGCAAGCAGAAAATAGATGAACAATGGACCCATTTTCTAAATCCGAGGTCACTGGATGTGAATCAACAACCATATTCTCCATAACGAGGAGGATGGAAACAACATTCATCTCTGAACAGTGTCTGGAAGTAACAAAGTACCAATATGACACTTATTTCATTTGTTATAATGGCCAATTGGGCAATTATGGGTGTATACTTGTATACAAGATTGTATACTTGTATAAGGTACAGTTTCTTTTTTCCTGATGATATATTCATGTTTTTTACTTTTGAGCTTTTCGGAGTATGCCCTTTTTTGCGTTACTTAAGTACTGGAATTGAATCGGTGTTTATGCTGTGGAGTCCCCGAAAAGTATGTGCACTACGTCTAAAGTACAGATTGCAAGTTACCGTACTTGTGCCACCCGTGTCTGTGAATATCCAGGATAAATTAATTTAAAATGAAACGACATTCAGATCAATTTAAAATGAGACAAAGACGACAGCAAACGCTGTAGTCTAGATAGATGAATCGACCCAAAATACATTCAAAGTAAGACTCTTCAACAAAATCTGCTCTTACCAAGGAAGTTCCTGGATGTGACGCTGATGATAACATTTTCTTCGGCGTTGTTGACCTGATCGTGGGTTGCTCTAAATTCGCGTTCAGAACATTTGACTTCCTTTTCACCTACTACTGTTTTACCATCTGCCGCACGGGCAATTTCTTCCGAATATCCGTGTGAATTTGAATCGACGGGAACATTCTGTAACCTTGGCGCTATTGCCACTTCCATTTCCTGAAGTTTTTCTGTAGACGGGGACGGATTCTTCATTATTCCGTTGCCCTCGGGTTTTGCAATTGTATGCGTATGTTTTTTTTTCTTTTGGTTTGTTTGGTTTTTTTTTTGATAAACGCGAATACCGTGCTGTCGATTTGAAAGTTGCCGCCGAGTGACTGAATGCCAATATCGCAAGGGATCATGGGACACATGAACCTACGATGCATTCAAATGCAGACGGAAATTGCCGCCATCAAATGGTGAGCGCTGTAGTTGTCAAATGTCATCATGGGAACCGTAATTTCCTCTTTTCACCAAGATGGACCCCACTTTAATAGGATTAATGAGCAATAATAGTGATAAAATGTGTCTTCAAAAATAGCCACTGCAAACACGTGTAGCTTACTGTTTAAGAAAAAAACATAACTTCACATTCTTGCATGTTCAAAGTGGCATTCAGAGTACAGTTAACTATGATGAGACAGAATTTTCTTGACAACTGCATGATAAAAACAGTTTGCTATCAAAACTGTACAAAATTGCGTCCATAAAATTCAATTATAGAGTACAGTACGTACAATGCTACCAAGCTCTTCTTTTTAGAAGATTGCAAAATCAATAGTTTCCCTTCTTTTTCAGGACTTAATCCTGTCGAAATGTGCAACTATAATTGATTTTATTTCAGTCCGAATTATTATATTATTTATTACCGGTATGTTATGAAAATACCGTGAATATTGTCTTCTCCCCTCAACAGTGGAATTAGAAGGATTGGAAAAAAATAATGCACAATTGAAACAAATGACAATAACTGATTTCACTTGACCACGAACAAGATTTGCGTGTATAATTGTTATTACAGTATTACAATAACACTCGACTGGACCATCAACGTTTCAATCTGATCTTGTAGATAGCGACCTCTAACGGTGTAAAGGTGCAAATCACAAAACGATATATGACAGGGTAGGTCACAGGTGAATTAATTGGCTGGGGATCTTCTCACTGTCTGTTCTCACTGAACAATAGGTAATTAACCACCCCCCCCAAAAAAAAGATTTTTATTTACCGTACTCAGAATACGCTCTGGTTTACCTCTCAAGAGAGAACAGCTATTATCCAAGGTGGTGACTTGTTTGGAAGGAAACACAATACACTTGTATAAAGTAGAGTGTCTTTAACAGCAATGCACTTCGAGCCAGATTAATGCAGAGTAATTGGCACTTTTGAAATTCTTCAGCCATCATCGGTTCGAGGGGACGATAAGAACACAAAGATATTTACTTATGACTTCTCATATGACTCAACTGACAGAAGTCCCTCGTTTGCATCCCAGGAGAAGGTAACTGGTTTCATGTGCAGTTGCACATTATGCTTTCCTTTTTTTTTTAGAGTATATTAAAATGTTTTTTGTCTGCTTAGTTTTAACAGTCGACCAAATCTTTCTTTTTTTTCAATTTTCAATGATCTGGGCGATGATGTCTTAAAAGCCGCATTTGAAGGTTTCAATGCCTGCGTGTTTGCCTCCGGTCAAACTGGATCAGGCAAATCTTACACCATGATGGGTCATGCAGTAAGGTTTCCCCATTTCCCACTTCCGATACATACATTTAAATCTATGTTTAATGTGTCATTCACTCTTCACAATATTAAGTACACCATGCATCACATGCAAGAGTTATGACATTCCTGCAAAGATGACACGGTTCAGGTTTGATATGATTATATGAGACAGAGCAGAATAAATTGAAGTAAATCGGTCAATTTGAATAGAGTTAGCCGGGACAGCCCAAGTTTCTCATGTCAGGAGGGAGAGCTTTCCAGAGGCCGAATGTCTGTTTAGCCCATGGTGGTCAAATGACCACATTGCAATTGCAGTTTGCGATTAGAGCTGTTACGATACATCTTTATTGTTATTATTATTATATATGTATATATTTTATCATCATTCAAAGTTTGTTTCATGTCCAATTCACCGATGGCACTTGCAAAGAATGGGTATCTGGAGCAGCAGGAGAAGCATTTTAAAACAGTACACGTACGTATGCTAGTTTCTACACTTAAGACGCTGCAAAGGTGCATCCCATGTCTCTGCATCAGGTCTCTACTCAGGAAGGCAGTGATTTCCATTTCACAAACTATTGTATCAACTTCATTTTTCTGTTTTGTGTGTGTGTGTGTGTGTGTGCACGTGCGGTAACGAAGGTTGGTTGCTTGAAAAGTAGATCTTCAGTCAAAAAAAGTGGAGCACCCCTTATGTAAACATTCACACTAGAAATTACTTTTGCAAGGCATAATGTGAGAGGGGAAACGGGCAACTTCGCAAGACAATCAACGAGACCAAATTGGATGTGCTATGAAAACACACTGGTTTTGAGTTTTCTATTCTCAAGAAGCATCGCCCAACGTGAGCTGTTGACAACATTTACATATAGTTTTCATTATAAACATGGAGATTTCTAATTGTTTGGGTGCTATTTGTTAATAACTATCTACTTTTGTGATCTATGGATGAAGATTAGATTACATTTTTCAGAGCTTTCTATGCATGAATCCAGGCAATTCAAAGGGCTCACACAATTTCTTGTAACTGTGTGTAAATTCAACCAATCCAGGTATATCTGAAATCCTGAAGATAAGTGTTGCAAAGCTTGTTATGGGAGATGCGGATGGTCAGCAATGGCCTTGTCATTTTTATTTAGTTTTTTCTTCCACGGGGCAGTTTGTGTTTTGAGTAGGTGCCATAAAAAAGTCACATTGATGAAAATTAAGATGAAATCTCATAACCATGGTTCATTTAAAATCTATCCGTCATTCACTGCTATTGTCCCAATAAAATCAACACTGAGGATCTTTACTCTAGTCGTGCTCACGCTTAGCGAACATGAATGCAATGCTGACGCATTTTTACATTCGGAACGGACCTCATCAGACATCCCCGCTTTTCTCTTCATTTGTCTCCATGTTTTCCTGCACTAATCAGAAAAGGTGATGAGTGCAGCAGCGCGTAGCTTTTCCATTTCCCACCTTGCACTCAGATGTAAATTTCACTCTTCCAAGGAGTAAATGAATGTCTACGAGGACAGCATGACTGCTCCTTTCAACATACTTGATAATTACATATAACGTTCTCAATGCGTGCTATCTACCGCTGTGTGATTAAAACAAGGGATGAAGAGATTGCCTTCACGCGTCAGTAACTTTTCGTGGTAGTTGTTCCACTGCTTCGGTCTCAGCTTGCCGCTTTGTGTCAACAGCAATACATAGAAACTCACATTAAGACAATATAACAACATCACTAGTACTACAGAGTTTTGAATGTTGTAAGCACTTCTTTTGTTTAATTTGCCAGGAACAAAACAGTTTAATCCCATGGATCTGTGAAGGCCTGTTCTCCAAAACATCAGAGAAAAGCACGAGCAATATGGTGTCATTTCGTACAGAGGTCAGGTATGGGATGTTTTTTTTTTTTTTTTTTTTTAATAAATAATGACATATGCAAACTGACAGAATGTTGTTTCAGTGATGCAAAAGCAGAACAGCAATGAGGGAAATGAGATGTACACAGGAAGTACACAGGAAACTTTTTATCATTTTGTAATGCTGGATATGCATATTGATACAAATAATAATTATACACTCTCCCCTAGGAATTAAAGTTTATAATCTGGATTCTCTTTTTTTTTCGTTTTCAATGCAACACTGCTCCTAGCCTCCACATATGGGTATAAATACAGTATTGCAAACATGAGTCCGGCCTCTCCTCAGTTGCATGACTAAATGTTTTAATTTTTCCTGCACCACACTAATGAATATAACTACAACATTCTGAAAGTCAATGTCTTACTTTTGTTTGTAACAAACAAACAAATGATTGCTCCACTGTATGTCTTATTGCCAGCTGCTTCCCCTCAGAGTGCACCTTGCCCTACTTTACATCTCATTTTGCTCACAAAGAACGAACTTGCAAAGCAAACAATTTCTTTTGTGCCCACCGCCCCCAGATTTTCCAGACTTCCTGCTGAATTGAGAAAATTCACGTGTATCCACAATTTTTGTGCTTGGAGTGCAGTGGTAAATTCTGCTTTGGTTAAATTCAACTCTGCAAATGTTTTTTGTTTGCCTTTCAGATCACGTTACACTGACAAAAAAAAAATGATTACAGTTCAATATTCTTTGTTCTGTAATTGCGTCTGTTTGCTTCAGTCCCCTCATATCCGTGGTCAAAAATGGTACCATACTCTTTGACGTATGAGCGTACTTCTTATAAATATGAGAGCAATGTAAGCACTTGCAAACCAAAAGTAATCGGAAATTTGAACTTTGTTGTGTGTCAACACAGCAGAACACAGTTGCATTAATACTTGAAATACTCTCTCTTCAGCTTGTTATGTGTTCGAATCAAACACTTTTGCTCTCTTGTTGTTGACAGTCTTCATTGTATTGTGTGTTATAAAACATGTATGGCATATGTTTCAACTGGATTTTTTAAAAAAAAATTTTAATATCTACCTAAATTTTTTTTTCTTTTTAAACAAGAAGGTTAAAATCTTATTTGAACAAAGAATTTCTATGGCTCTTGAGTTAAGACAATCTCGGTAAGGGTAGGTAAATCTATCTGGGCTTGAAAGCAATTTGGATTAATCATAGAAAATCCAGTTTTCACTGTACATTGTCACATCACCTCATATTAGGTTCAATCAAGGTGAACTTCTGGTTCTGAATTAAATGTTGCGTTTTATTGAAGCTTACTCAGTTTCACAACTGCTTACCTTTTTTGGGTGGGGGGAGCTTTTGACTGGTGTGCCCATTTTTATTTTTGACTTTTGGTGTTGTCATTCACAAACAACTAACACTGAATCCCTTTTTGGACTTTGGATTTGGACACCATCTTTATGGAAATCTACAATGAACGTGTGTATGACCTGCTTAAAAAGAAGACTGTAGTTATGGAGAGTGGAGGCTTAAGAGTGAGAGAGCACCCGAGAGATGGACCATATGTTGAGAGTAAGTGATGCCATCACCTCGACCCCCCCCCCCCACACACACACACAAACACAAACACACCCTTCCTCCTTATATACTTTTCTCCTGAGTTGACAAATATTGACATTTCTTAAATAATAAAAACTTCTTCTGTGCTTAGATCTGTCCAAGCATTTGGTACATGACTACAGCAACATGGAAGAGTTGATAACTGCTGGGAACGCCAACCGTATCACTGCCAGAACAAGGATAAATGACTCCAGTAGCCGTTCGCATGCCATCTTCACCATCTGCTTCACTCAGGTAAGGTGTGGTATACATAGGGAGTGTACTGTGTTGAACTTGAGCAGATCATGAAGTCTCCCGAAAATTTTGGGAGGTTTATCAAGGCTAAAGTGTGCCTCAGGAGGTGTAATTTAGCCTGATTCTCTGGTGGTGTCCTGAACATTGTCACCAACTTCAAAGGCTAATTATTATTATTTTTTTTTCCATTATAACTTTTTTTGTCATACACTGTGCTTTGAGTATTCCGCTGTGAAAGCTTTTCTTGCCACAGAAATGGTTTGATGCAGAGTTGCCACACGAGATGCTGAGTAAGATCCACCTGGTGGACCTGGCTGGCAGTGAGAGGGCAGACACCACACAGACTTCAGGCATCAGACTAAAGGAGGGCGCCAACATCAACAAATCCCTCGTCACCCTGGGCAATGTGATGTCAGCTCTGGGTAAATGGCATTCAAAGCAGGACTACTGACACCATGTGTACTATTATGCTAACAGGACGATGAACAGGAAAACAGAATTAAGCTCAAAATTTTTCATACCCTAAAGAAATGTTGAGTAAAAGTGACATTTTATTTGAAGGCCGGATAGCTTGTATTCATACCTAATTTCACGACAGCTATGGAAAGTTATTGGTAAGTTAGTAAAGTTTTCTCAAATTGTTTGACAATATCGTCACGTTCCTACACTAATGGCCGAAATCAGGGGTCTCAAACTAATTTTTTCATGGGCCACATTGGAGTTATGGTTTCCTTCGGAGGGCTGTTATGACTGTAAAGCCAATTAAATGTATGATTACATAACGCTGGTGTCGGGCGGAATCCTTGTACCTCCAAAATCATCATTCCTCAGGAGAGCCCAGAAACGTTTGTTCCATCATTACCATTGCATCGTCAAAGGACGCACACCAGTATCAGCACTTCAGATTCATCAAGAATTTGTAAAAATAACCCACATGTGGTCTGACCAACAGTATAGATTTGTGAAAAAAAATATGAAATTATGATATTTATCAGATTGTGACAGGCAGGTTTCAGTCAGATGCCAGCGGTATACGGAACAGATTGATGACAGTGTGTGTGTGTGTGTGTGTGTGTGTGTGTATTTTTTTGGGGTGGGGGGGTCAAAATATGACTTATGCCATTATTTTAAGAGGCTTACAATATGTGAAAAATTACTGTTGTGTAACTACAGACATTCCTGAGGGCTGAATAGAATTGGCACTTAAAAAAAAATGCATGTGTATTCATTGTGACCTTCCAGCCGAGCTCAGCGTAGGACACCCGACAACAAAAAAGATGACCTTCATCGCTGACAGAGACTCGGGTCTTACATGGCTGCTTAAAGACAGTCTTGGTGGAAATTCAAAAACGACTATGATTGCAAGTGTGCACTATACACACAAATATTTGCCTAAACCAGGTAATCCTCTTGGTTTATACTGTGTCACTCATCTGCGCATTTCTCTTTGATGACCTTTCGTTGCAGCCATTTCTCAAGCTAATGTGAACTATGGAGAGACTCTGAGCACGTTGCGCTATGCCAACCGCGCTCGAAACATTATAAACAACCCCACAGTGAATGAAGACAGGAGTGTGAAATTGATCAGGGATCTCCAGGCAGAGGTTACCAGGTTGAAAAGGCTACTAGAAACCAAACAGGTGCTGGATTGTTACTTTCAGACAATTTTTGCAGAGTTCATTAACATGGGCATATACAGTATTTACCCATGTACTGCTTGCTACAGGTTTCTCATCGAGAGCTGTCTTCCTCACTGAAGGTAGAAGAGGAGTTGCATCAAAATGAAGAGAAGGTCAATTTTTCTGCTGCTTAATGGACACTTTTGGGGTGCTTAGTTGTTCAACTTTGCAATGATTTCCATTTATGCAGGTTTATAGTCGAACCAAAGAACTGGCCTGCAAATGGGAGGAGACTCACGGTATTCTGCAGGTACAGCAAGTGTTACATTTGTCATAGGTTTCTCTTGTTCTTCCTGCATTTATTTCAAGACCTAGATAATTAAATTGCAAATTTGTATTTTATAGATCTAAAGCTGAACCCTTTTTTCATGGGGAATCTCCTGGGCCAAGTTAATGTCTATTTGACTTTGAGACATGAGTTCTCCGTATGTAAACGCCGAATGGAAGTATAGATTTTTTTTTTTAGCAATTGTCGTTTTATTTCTTAATGATTTCATCCGTCATACCTTCGATATTTCTTGGTTACTCCTACCTAGTTGTGATCAACACAGAAGTAGTTTTGACACTTGTGCTTGCAATGAAATCACCCCGCCAGTTGGTGTCTCTGCAGCTCCTCTCAACATCCAGAAATGTTGGAAGTTGTGTTGGCGGGAGAGAGAGAGAGAAAGAGAGCGTCAACCTGGCATGAAATATAACTTTGCATCGAATCAGATTGAAGTGGCAGCCAAACGTTGAGTTGTTGAAATACTCCTCAGGTGAGAGTGTGACAATGTTTGGAAGAAGAAACCAGGAACCAAACTGACATGCACTCTCCCGCAACCCAATATTGCTTCTGAGGCTGCGAGCTTGTAAAAAACCCGAGGTTCTAGAAAAACGCTTTGTTTCAATAGTTCACAGTGACTGCTGAACAAATTTCCTCTGAATGTTTTCCAACATCCCAAATCACACCAAATGTCATTGTTTTGGGCTCCATCATAGTTCGCCAAGTAGTCTGTTCCATTATGCATAAACCGGGATCGTGACTGTCATGAGAAGTAGGGGTTGATTTATTGTCCAATAATACATGCTAGCGGATATATTTTGATTAGTTGCATGTTATTGAGCAGATTTCATTACACCTCTACTACTCTTATTTTTAAAAAAAAAAAAAAAGTCTGAATACAGGTATATTTATATTTTAACACTGGCTTTAACAATTTATTTATTTATTATTCTTGTATGATGATGTTTTATACCTATATGTGTCAGTGTATATTGCGGTATTAGTGTTCAATGTTGTCAGTTAGCGGCTGACCTTTTGGGGATTGAGAGCACTTTACACAAAACAATGGTACTGGAAATCATCAGCAGCTGTCACTGCTCCTAATTAAGAAATCTTCATTATTGACATATGGCACTTTAATCTTGCACTGGTGAGCATGCAGTATTAATGAAGCAGCTTTTTCCGAATCTATTTTGGAGATAAACATTGTCCATTTGCCAATAGGCATCATTACAGCAGTTTTCATTCTTGAAGAAACTTTGTGGCATCCGAGCAAAAGGCCACCGTGCCGGTGAACAGAAGGCGCTCTGGTGATGCCAGAACTACAATCATTGTAACAACTTTTTGCATGTGACATTTGTCTCGCCAGCGTATTTGCATTTTGTGTGGGTGAAAAATAAATGGGATT